AAATCTTCAGTTGTTCCTCCTCGAACAAATGAAAAAGGTATTCTTGGAGCTTGCCCCTCTTCTCTTCTTTTTGACTCTTCTAGCCCTAAAGCTATCTTCAGTTATAGAAAGTGTCATCACATTGGTGAAACTTCTCATATCGCCAGTAAGTTTCCTTCAACTACCAAATCTGGTTTGCCAGCTAAGGTAAAGAAAGTAACTAAGGTTGAAAAGTCAACCAAAGTGAAATCAACCACTAAAGTTGTGAAAACAACTAAGGTGAAGAAAATCACTAATACCTCGTCTTCAGGTTTAGTGAAGCCTTCTATTGTTTATGAGCTTTCAGTATCAATAAAGAAATATGTCGCCTCTAACATTGTTGGATCCATTGTGAAATGGGTACCAAAACAATCTTAATGAATTTTCTATTGCAGGAAGTCAAAGGCATCTGGTATCTAGATAGTGGATGCTCAAGACATATGACTGGAAACAAATCCCTACTCTCAGACTATAAAGATGAAAGAGGCCCTTCCGTGATCTTTGGAGGAAACGAAAAAGGATATACAAGGCCTTGGGTATATGTTGAAGGACTGAAGCATAATCTTCTCAACCTTAGTCAACTGCAACCACCTAGTTAGTGAATGTGCTTTTAATATTCAGTTATTAATATTGTGTAAGTTTATTCTTTCCTTGTAATCCTTTACAATAAAAGTAAATTTACGTAGTAAACTGTATCACTGAAAAAATCCCAAAATAATTAATAAGGACAAGTATTTTACTAGTACATTTTCCTTACTATTATTTCTTAGCAATTTTCTTTATGTTGCTTTGTCACTATCAAATAGGAGGAGATTGTTGATCATCTCTCACAGTGACTTGATGATCCTTTTAATTTACGAAGTATACTATCTCTTTATTTAGTTTCAGCGATCACCACCGAGTCTGTTCAGTGATCGCTGAACATGTATTGTGATTCTCTCAGAGACAAGTATTCTTCAGGAAGACAAAAATCACACCATAGAATCTTCAGCGATATCGAAGATAAAGCTGACAAAGACAAACAAGTTCGTGATATACACCTTGCGGTCGAGTGGCTTCGCTCCTATACTAGAACCTTGATCAGAATCAAAATATGCCGTGGAAAAGAGCTTATTTATGAGCGAAAGATGAAGTTGCAGAGGAACCTACAGCTGGATTGAATCCTTCTCAGGAAGAGCTGATGCTTGCTTGCGGTTTTTCAGTGATAAAAAGCTTGTCTACACAAATGTGAAATCTACTCAAGATTCAGCGAACACTGAAGAGACCTCAGCGTTATTCTAGTGTCATCGATCAGATGAATCTTGTTGAACAATTGCGAGGGTTGCTGAATCCACCCCTACCCAAGATATAACTCAACTTCAGCAATCCATCACCTCCCTTGATACTCAATCAAGGGAGAACACCACCCGCCTTCAATCCCTCCAACGTCTGGGGACCCAACATCACAACTACCATAATAACCTTATGGTCACCAGACTGATTCCGTCGATGCATCCATCGCCTCTCATTCCTCCCAAATCATAGCCACCGATACATCCATACCCACCATCTCCTCACAAATATCCTCCATCAATACTTTCATCGTCTCTCTCCCTACCACCATCCAAAATATCATCCCACCACCTATTGCCCTCTCTTCCTCTGCAGCACCCACAACCAATGAAACCTTTACCTCTTTTGCTGTAGAGATAAGGGATTTAATTTCCTCCATCTCTATCCCAGCCACCTCCACCACCACTCCTCCATCTCAGGACATGGTTACCCGAGTCGATATCCACTCCCTCACTAAGGCACTTATCTCGAAGTTCAACAAGAACAATGCCAAGTTTGTAACGAAAGCCGCCGAACCAGTCGCCACTCTTCAGAAATGGCTCGCTCAACAACAAGAGCGAACCAACACTCTCCTTCGAAGAATGGAAGAAGATAGACGGCGGATGGCTCTGCAAATGTATGCCGCCTCACTTTAAAAGAAAAATAAGCGACCTACTTCTTACTCAATGGGGAGACCATCCAAGCGCCCGAGGCATGACGACCAAGACCCCGATGATCACGGTCTAGGTCCTCATGAGGGGGAGACACCGTGCACACTGCATCAACTCCACTTCCACCAGCACAAGCTCCATCCTCTCACCCAACAGCTGGACCAGAAGCAAGGGAACCAGAGGCTCAGCCCTCTGATGATGTAAATACTATGAATGTAATTAACTTTCCATCGATTATTTTTGTAGCATCAATCTCCGATCCAGCTGCAGGCATTGTAACCCCAATAGCAAAAGTTGTATCCTTAGCCGATGTACCACTTCCCTCATTCGATCCCTCATCAACCAACCTATCACTACCAACCGATGAATCCTCGCCAATATTAGTGAGCTCTTCATCACTTCCCCAAACACAACTTTCAACCACACCATCACCCACACAACCAGATGCTCAATTTTTTTCACTCCATCACCTACACCACCTCCATTACAAATACAACCAGAAACCACCCAACCAGAACCTATCACCACTCAACTAGAAACCATTCATACAAAACCTACCCAACCGGAACCACCTCTTACCCAACCAGAACCACCCCTTACCCAACCAGAACCATCACATACCCAACCTATAAAGCCAACAATGCCTGCAGATGTTCCTTCATCCTCAAGGAAGCCTTCATCCATCGATAGAGTGCAAGAATTCATCGCTCAGATGGAAACGCTAAGGAGACGTCCGGAGATGCCACCCAAGGAACCCATCATCATGGAGAATGTCCATCAATACCTCTACCATTATTGCGATGAGCACATTATCTTAAATCCCCCAAACATGTCCTCGGAGTCCATGGACTTAATCATACACATGTTCGTAAGGAAACTCACCCAACCACCACATGTCGTCTTCTCGAATGATGGGATAAATACAGTTCATGATATCAAGCTGCAGACCTTTACCAACAAAGCCATCAAGTACATCGAGTATACCGTGGAATGTGCTCATGGGATGATCTGTGTCTTTAGTGACAATAATCTAATCAATCTCAATCCATGGGACTTGATCGACTTGTATGGTCATACGACTCAATTTCAGGACCATGGGATAAGGTACGAGATGGCACAGAGAGCGATCGTAGAGACGATGGGAACTTTGGTGAAGTACAGAGCAAAGAATGAGTTTCAGATCGCTTGGAACTTGGCATTGGAAGACTTTCCTGCATGGCTCCAAAAGAAGACTTTCGTGGACTATAGGATGCTCTGCCTCTTTCTTAACTCAACCGAAACTGGGCTTAGTCTCCAAGGATGAGTTCGGTACCAAGAAGTTCTTTTGATTGACTGAGGCCTTCAAGTATTCAACCGATATGCTTGAATGGTTTCAGAAAGTCATCCAAGACAGACTGGGCAGAGACTATGTGCCAAGAAGAGAGGGACAAGAGGTAATTCATGGGATCTCCACAGTCATAAGGTACAAAAGACTGATGATGCATTTTTGGAGAATCTTTAATGGAGACCATGAATGAGATGTAAATTTTCCTTCCCTTACTTTTTACTTCCATACTATTTGAAACAATCTATTTCAGTAAATGAAAACTTTTGACAAAAAAAATGTATCTATTAGCTTAGCTTTGTGTACATAAATAGCTATTTGTTTATCGTTCATATATAACTATTTTTTATTTTTCATTACGTAGGGAGAGATTGTTAGACCTTATATTTCCTATTTCTAAAAGTAATGAAAAATGTACAAGTATGGAAGATTCTAAGTGTTGAAGACAAACTAGAGACGCAATGAAAGGTCCAGAGGTGCTATGATAACCTGAATCACCTAACCTGATAATCATCTACTTATGAAGTTCATCAGGTCGATGAACTAGCAACTCCATAACCCCTCTGGTTTACAGTAACTAACGAATCGTCAAGTGTCACAGTTCAATCAGATCTACTTTGGTCAAGCATATATGTGAAGAATCCTGGTTGAACACACTACCTAGAGACAGCTGGAGATGATTCATCGCCAACTTGAATTCTGTTACGCCAGGTAGTTAGAGATAACTCCCACCTTTCTAGATAGATATCTTCTCCTTGTTTGTCTCATAGGTATATCATACTAGATTGTGATCTCTTAGAATAGATTGCTAGTATAAATAGCATTCATATGTCCTGTCACAAATAAATTCCTCTCTTTATTCAATATAGTGAAATTACTTGAAAGCTTCATGCTTTCTTGAATATCATTAAAGTTGTTCTTCACTTTTTTCACTGATACGATAAATTTAGGTTCTTAAACATAAATCTTCGTGTTATATTGAGAGATCTGGGATCAACAGTTTTTGTCTTATCCTCCTACACACAAAGGACAAACCCATACCTCTCAAAGTATAGTACATGTATGGAATCACTCTACTATCTCTAAGCATGCTTACCTACTGATAACTCTTATTTTTAAGAGTTATTTCCTTTTTATTTACTCCCTTTTTGCTTTTATTAAATGCCCAATTTTGTTGTTTTTCCCTTTTTATTCCAAAAAGTTTTAAAAAGATGATGAAACACAGAGGAAGAAGTATTATTCCAAAAACCTGTATTTTTTTGACAGCATTGCCCACTGTGGCACCACTGTGGCACCACTGTGGGATGTCTACCAGCCTTGTTACTACTTCTTGGGAAACGTGCAGCTTGAAGATCTCCCAGATATTTTTCCTCCAGCTGTTATGAGCTGTCTTCCATGCTCTATTTTATTTTCTTTTGTATTTTTMTTTACTTGTACTAATTGCCCAATTTGTAATGATTGGGTATGGCCTTCCTCCCTCCCTCTCCCCTATATAAAGAGGCTTGGGAGAGCCTTTTTGGGTGTGCCAACTTGGAGCAACTTGTGCTCAAAACACCATCTTTGGTACCAACTTGTAGATATTGCTCTCATATATAATTAATGCTTTTTAATTTTATGTCTTTACTTTATTGTCTTTAAATATATGTCTTTAATTTATTGTCTTTAANCCTTTGGGAATGTCGCCGTACCAGTTAGTTTTTGGAAAAGCATGTCACCTCCCGCTCGAATTGGAATATAAAGCTTTTTGGGCGATAAAAGAATTTAATTTTGACGCAAATTCGGCGGGAGCAAAAAGAAAACTCCAACTTAATCAGTTGGAAGAATGGCGATTTCACACCTACGAGAATGCTAAACTCTATAAGGAAAAAACAAAATTTTGGCATGATCGTAGGATAAATCACCGAATTTTCGAAAATGGTCAAAAAGTTCTTCTTTTTAATTCTCGATTAAAGCTTTTTCCCGGAAAACTTAAGTCGAGATGGTCTGGACCATTCACCATTGTCAATGTGGGAAAATTCGGAACGGTAGATCTTTTGAATCCGCAAGATAATAGCACTTTCAAAGTTAACGGGCAKCGGATAAAGCATTTCCTCCCGGAGGGAATGATCGGTCCAACCCAGTAATTTTTGAAAAGAATTTTCAACAGTCTGTAAATATTTGAATTTGAAAGCAAGAATGAAGAAAAAGAAAAAAAATAATAAAGGAAAATTCTGGTGTTTTTGAGTAGACAGTGGGAAGTTTGTACCCACTGTCTTGGTCTTTCGAAATTTAAAAGAAATGTCAACCAGCAGCTTATTTTTTTGGGTGCCCAAATGAATGCTCTCTTCATGATCATGGACATTTGGCTGAAAATGCATTGTTTTTGGAAAGGACATGATGTCACCTTGAAGTTGAGAAAAAAGGGTTTTCTTCTCATTGGCTAAGTACATTTTGATGATTAGCCTTTGACAAAATGGGTTTTCTTTAGATTTTGTTTAAAAAAATAGATAAAAGAAAAATCTTGGGAAGGTAGTGAAAGAAATTTTTTTGGAAGATGGACTAAGTGCCCCTTTTTGTTTTAAAATGGCCAATTTTTGAAAAAGATTTTTTTTGAAAAATTTTCGAATGTCATTTTTTTTCAAACTCATGTTTTTAAAAAAAATTTGGGTCAAATATTTGTATTTTGTACAAGATATTGTTACCCCAAATGATGACATCCTAGGCATGTGTCCTTTTTTTGGCCATCTTTTTAAAACTAAAAAAAGAAATGCAATGCACCATACTTTTCCATCTTTGTACTTCCCATCAATCACACATTTTCACCACTTTTGTTTCCAACATCTTTTTTTCCTTTTATTTATTTTATTTTTAAATACAAATTTCAAAAACCCAAAACCCCTTTTTACCTTTTCTCCTTCCCTCTTCCTTTCTTCTCCAAGACAACCGCCGGCCACCATTTCCTTTATCCATGGCACGACCGAAGCAGCCGGTTCGCAACCACCCTTCTCGCCGTTCACTTCGCCGGCGACAAACCGCCGATGATCCTACCGCCGGTGCTCCACTCTCGACCGCACCGCCTGCTTCCTCGTCGGCCGAACCCTCTTCGTCGGCGACGGAATGTCATGCTTGCTTCGGAGACAAATTTTGGATGTACACCCGAGACCGGAACCGGGTGGTGAACAAATTCCTATCACACAAGAATGTCATGCTTGCTTCGGAGATACAACGTTTTCCCGGAGGCCTTTGCCCTCCCCAAGTTCGGCTACCAAAGATTCGACGGACCACCACSACGGATGCCACGGGTGAGGCATCTGCCAGTCGGGACGATACGGGTAAATCGGATTGATAGTCTTCTTTGGTGTTTCATTATAATCTTTTTAAACATCGAAAACAATTTTTTTTGTATTGGGCATTTCATACYTTATCCGACCGCCTTCTTTTGTGTTCATATATGGCGGTTGTTGATTATGCTTAGGTCTTTTGACACTCTAACTTGCTTTTGTTTCTTTTGGGCGTTGATACTTCTTTTGGTATATCGTTGGTTATTCTTCTTTTTCGGGTGCCATTTCTTTGATTTGAGCTTTAGGTTGCAAAAATTAAAATGACGTGAGCCATATTTCTTTTTGGCCCAAACACTTGCCATTGTTACCAAAACCAAACACTTTTAACCCATTTCTACAATGCGGACATTGTTCGGTTTCAGTTTGGGGGAGGTTGTATGCCAAAGTGTTGAAAAAATTCGTATAATGCCAAATGTCTTCGGAAAATTGGGAGACACAAAAATAGAAAAAATAAAGCAAAATGCTTTAACCCAATGACAAAAAGTGAATATCACTTCTTGGGTTTTCTTGAAAGTGTCAAAGACACAACAAAAAGAGCCGAAAAATGCAAAACCATTCAAAGCAAATGTTGTCATTCTAAGACAAGTTTGGGGGAATTTTTTTTTTTTTAGCCAAAAACACTAACCCGATAAAAGTCCCACCGATTAATTTTTGCACCTTGAAGATCAAAGAAGGGAAGTTGCACAACATTCAAAGCCTGACGATATTTCAACGCTCATCCGTAAGTTATGATTTCTTGTTCCTCTTTATTCATATTCTGTTTATTTTGATTCCTTGAGGACAAGTAATATCTTAAGTTTGGGGGTATGATAACTCTTATTTTTAAGAGTTATTTCCTTTTTATTTACTCCCTTCTTGCTTTTATTAAATGCCCAATTTTGTTGTTTTTCCCTTTTTATTCCAAAAAGTTTTAAAAAGATGATGAAACACAGAGGAAGAAGTATTATTCCAAAAACCTGTATTTTTTTGACAGCACTGCCCACTGTGGCACCACTGTGGCACCACTGTGGGATGTCTACCAGCCTTGTTACTACTTCTTGGGAA